CTCGAAGAAAAAAGTGACAAAATTGATTTTGACTAGGGTCGCCCCTAGTCCAAAATTGAAAATGTATTTCCTACTTGGTTCTTTGCTCAAAAAAATTTTTTGGATGTTTTATTTGAATTGACATAATTCTGACATAAATCACATACCAATATTTCTTTTTGTAATGCATAGCTGAAAAAAAATCGAAATCTAAAATTTCGACTACCCCATCTGAATTTTGTTCATAGTCTTCACTGTGGAAACCAAAAAACAAATTCTTTATCTTAAAACACTTGACAAAATAGCGACATAATTCAGGATTAATTACTTTTTAATAATATTTTAACATTTACGAGAAAATGTGGTTCAAATAAGTGTGAAGTATGGCCGAGATTTGGACCAAAATCAGCTATACTGGTTCATAGTGTTCCCGAGGGTGACAAAATTCAAACTAATAAGACTTTTGATGGTACGGTGTGAATATATCCGCATTGGGTTTCTACCCGATACACTAGCTTCATACTCAAATTGTAAACAAATTTTTGGTGAGATTAAATTACTGATTTCTGGAGTTAGAGAGCAAATAGGAACGAGATATTTTTAAAGGATATGCACAAAGGAAAGATCTTTAATCTGACATTTAAAAGACAAAGTTTAATTAACATGAAATTTTTGAATTTTTGAACATTTTTTTCGATTCTGAATCATTGTGACACCCAACTTATGACACGTTTTAATATCTGAAAAGCGTTGCATCTAAGACGGAAAACTTTAATTTAAATCCTGCTCGCCTTATTTTTTGCATCGCAATATTTCCGCTCCTTTCTTATAAAGCGCTAAAACGAAGAGCATAAAAAGTAAATATGAAGAAAAATCAATGAAATATCATAAACATATACAATATGTACATGCTGGAAGAATGTCTTACATAATATTATTTTTCTCTCTTACCAACATCTCAATACTTCTATTCTACTTGCAAAAAAATTTGTGATTTAAATTTCTCAGCATATATGTTGATTGAGGATCTTTTCAGAAATTTTTACAAAGGTTGTAGGAAGGCTTTTGGAATGTCTTACTTGAGATCTAAAGATGTGATCAGTATTGTTGATTCTGGAATCAATTTTTATTGGTATAGCTTACATCTTTAAAGGATTCTCAAGATATATCCTCGAAACCGGTTTAAAAAGCTTTGATTGATCTAAACTTCTCGTACATAAGGCTAGATTCTCGTGTATGCCCTTGAGAAGACAACTCTGGTAAAGAAATTTAATCCACAATATATTAATCGCTATCAAATATTTATGTTCATGAACGTTCCTCTTGAGAAGAATGTCTTTAGCTAAGAATCAAATCAAACATGACAATATTAAATTTACATTTAAAGAGAATCTAAAAGCCCTCACAGCATGTATATTTTATGTATCCAAATACTTCATATCAAATTTTGTTTTAAGAACGTCTTCTTTTTCTACGTAATGCTTATACTGCTATTATTTTTTATTGAATATTTAAGCGCTCTTTTCTTTATTATCATTAAAAATACAGTCTTAAACACATGAGGGGTCGTAAAAATGAAAGAAAAATCGATGAAAATGCGTTTTACTAAATCAGTAATTTTAATGGTATAATCAAGGGCATTTGATTTTCTTTTTCATTTTTCAATTAACTTTTTCCCATAAAAACTACGACTGAAAAATGAAAATCATTTTTTCTCGTTCAAAGCGGAGTGTAAATGAGAATTGGAAAAGGTTTCAGGCTTGTATACAGTTGTAGATTTTTAAATCAAGGTATGAGTTAAGCAAGAGTTTTCAGATACAATGATAACATACAGTAGTATGTCATTTAAGTTTATTCATGACTTCTTTATCAAGGTTAGAGGAATATGAAATCAGAACGACACTATGCTATCATTCAAATTAAATGATAATTCAACCATTGCATCTCAAGATCTTCATTCAGTCACGGAAGTGGAAAGAGAAAGTTATCAATTCAATCAACGAGATTCATCTTTACAATTTCTAATCCTCTTGAATAATTCTAGAAAGAGATGAAAATAAAGAACAATATTGTGCAAAGCACTGTCGTAGCAAAAAATCATAATGAGAACCTTTTAATAAATTTGCAGGATATTGAAGAAGGAAAAAAAGGAAAAAAATAATAATAATATGATAAGGGATCATTTACAAATGATGAGATTTATTGAACTTCACCTCATCCCTCCATTAAAAAACAAAACAATTTGTATTGAATATCATTAAGCTCCAAAACCGGATTGTTCCTTAATATTTGACGCCATTTGTGAACGACCCTCAAAGAATAGAATGTATCGAAATCTGAGAGCTTCATTCTTTTCATGCATCAATGGTAATTGAATTTCAAAATCACAAAAATGAGAGAAATACAATAAAGGACCCAAAAAATGATGGGTGTTTTCCACAATTTCAAGAAAGGTAAAGTTTGAGGGAAAATTATTTTATCCTAATAATGCAAAAAGGCTGATTGAGGAATCTCAACGGCTTGTGATAAAAAAGAGAAACAAAAGCCCACGAAAAAGTTGTCGTGACTTAATTTTCTGTGGCCTGAACACAAAGAAGAATGGAAATTTGTGTTTTTCATTCTTTCGAAACTTCTCTGCGGAACATTTTACAGTGAATAGGTTTTTCTCATTAACCAGAGTGTAAAATTGTAAACTTTTAGCAGATATTTTAGTGGGAAGCTTTAAAATAGATGCCTTGAGAATTGATTTTTCCGGTTGTTTACTAAACAAGTTGAATTCTGTGAAGATTTAATCATGAAAAGAAAACTTTTCAAATCAGCAACGAATAGATGATGAATACTTGTTCTATAAGTTTTCGTTCTTGTTGCATAACTTTGAAACTTTATTTACCACTCAAATTCCCATTTGTTATTTGAACGATAGAACCTTTAGCAATATAAAAAATCATGTGACAATGAATGTATGTATCGTACAGAGGAAAAACTTTAAGATAAGAATAAATAAGAAAAACGGAATCTACATGCATAGAGACATGATATAATCTCATGGGTTTCAATGCTAAACATTTATATCATTTCTCATAATGTGAAAGATATTCTGAGAACATCCACACATTGCTGCCCTAAGGAGTTACATTGAAATTGGCTTTCGTATCTTCATGTCACTTTTGTTGCTATCTTAAAATATTTATGTGGCATCAGGCATAAGCAAGAAAGAAACAAAAAACACAAAAATGCAACTGAACGCTTTATGAGTTTTTAGAAAAAGAACTGTTGAAATTATTCTTAAAGCTTTTGATTGCCATATAAAGCACACACAAATAATTTAGTATGTGACAGACACATATCCCTGGCATGCACAATGATTCAGATTCGGAAAAAATGTTCAAAAATTTAAAAATAACATCTTAATTAAACTTCATCTTTTAAATGCAAGATTAAAGATCTTAACTAAAGGCATATTCAGTGAAAATATCTTGTTTCAATTGGATGTCTAACTCCAGAAATCTTTAATTTATTTTCAACAAAAATTTGTTTGCATTTTGTATATGAAAAAAAAAAACTTTGATTTTCTCTACTTTAAGTTGTTATTTCCTTATCTTGCTAGCTGTTGTTAGCTAAGTTAAGCTTAGATTTGCATATTAAAACTACCAAATCAAAAGAAAACTGCTGATTAAGTCTTAAAAATGCAATTGAAATCTGAGTATTTTTACAAAACTTAAACTATTCAAAAGTTAAAAAGTCTTCCAAAGACCTCTCTGAAACCTTTATAAATCAATTAATTAAGCTTAAATCTATCTCCCATATTACTGAGGACATGCAGTTTGATGCCGTTTTCGAGATATTTGCGATCAAAGTTTGCATAAATTTTCATACAAAATTTGATCATGCACAATATGTTTTGATAAACTTTTACAAACTTTTGGTAAAAAATCATGTTTAACCTTTATATAAAGGACTGATTTTTTGAACAATGAACGAAAATGCAGAAGATGCTAAAAGAATCAAATCAAGAGAAATTACCAAAAATTTTCAATTTTCTAATGTGTCGGAAGCATATTGTGCACAAGGAATTTTTGAACATTTTTTCCGAATCTGAATCATTGTGGCATGGATGTTTATTAACCACTTTTTTTTTTGAATGGATGTAAGTTCGATTTTCATCAGAGACTTATATCTCAATTATTTGACAGAATGTTGATGATTGAACAAGAATTTGCAATATTCCAAGACATAACTCGTCCCCAGTCCCAAATTAGTCCCTCTGTCAAATATATTTTAACGACGATCTAAGTTCATTTAATTGGGAAACAAAATCCATCATTCAAGAAGATCCACAAGGGATTTAAGTCTATAATTCTACGAGCATGTCTCTCCTCTTATCTTCTTTAGTTCTTCAACATTAATAAAAGAAAGGATTTAGTAGAAAATTTATATGCTTGACATCGCAAACAACGAATAAACCTTTATGCTGCAAAATGATATTATTTTCCCATAAATCGATTTCTTTAAATTATCCGCACATATTAATGTATATATCATATAGCACGTGAACAGTCTTAATGATAGTTGCATTAGATGCTTTTAATGGCTTGCCATAACGATGTAGACGTGATGGAAAATCTTCAATTTCTTCATTACTGCAGCAACATTACGCAATTTTCATTCTAAATTGCTGTAAAGGCAAAATTGTGTCTTCATAATGAATCTAGATCGCGTTTCATTGAAGCTTATTTAAAATGTAAAATTTCCTTAACGTTAAGCATCATGATGAAGCATAATTTCTGTAAAATTTGCTGTTAAAGCGAAAAAAATGTAATTTACATTGTTAAAAGAAATTTTATAAAACTTTATTGGGAATGTTCTGTTCAAGGCTGTACATTTGATGAGAATTTTAATGGTTCTTGTAAACTCACAATTCACATCTTATTGGAATGTGTAATAACATTTTCGATTCCAATTGTCATGACAAGCAATTCTTAAGAATAAAAAGTTCAGGAGTTCCAAAAATCTTTCCACTCCTATTTTCCATAGCCATAACTTGGCTGCTGTGATACGACAGTTTCTCTTTGTACTGTTTGCTGCCCATAAGGACCAACTTTTTGGACTGTTGTTTGTTGCACAGATTGTTGTGGCCCCAATCCATTTCCAGTATTGTAAGTTGTCGTTTTAGAGCGAGTCTGTTGACCATATTGTCCAAGTACTACACTGAAGAAGAATACAAATAACCCGAAGATTATGAAAAAGATGACTTTCAGATTATACATGACTCAATGTTAGGAAAGCTTTTAGCTTGTTGAAAGTTGAAACTGTTACTGAGCGCGTCTAAATCGATATCCACTTTATATACATGTATGTATGCGAGTTGAAGCACCCAAATATTTTGCTTGATAAGTGCATTGCTAACATGAAAATGAATAGACAACTGCAGTAGATTTAATCTAGAGGGAATACGTAACTGACTGAAAAAAATCAGCAAATGCATTTTTATTGACATTATTCATGCAAACTTTATTTAGAGAAATTCTAGTCTGGGAATTTCCATTTTGTCTAAATGAAATGAAATTTTCTTTTGTATTGTTGTTTAAATTACGTAACTGCTGATGTCAATAGAGACTGTGTTTAAAGTGAATGACTAGATTTCATTACTTAAATGTAAAATATTGAATAAACTTTATTTATCGATAATATCTTAGATTCTACACAGCTAAAGAATATAAAAATTGTACTGTATGTGATGCAACCTCCTTCCATAAATGTAATTTCGTTGTAAAAATAAGAAAATGAGATTTAACTTAAAAATGTTCAGGAATGTTTCGATTTAATCCAATTTCACGCTTTTTTCTGCCAAACGAATTTGCATAACCAGAAGGTTCTTGTTGAGTTGTGGTTACTTTCGTTATAGTTCCAGTTGGCGTTTCAATTATTTCCTCTGTTATGACAGTTTTCGCTTGATTTCCATTAAAAGAATTGGCACGACTTAATGTGTAGCCAACTCCTTTTGGAATGGAAACAGTTGGAACGTCATTGTTGTAGCTGGAACCATAGCCATTGTTAGAATAAGTATTTGTTCCAGTATAAGCATTAGCTCCATTATATTTAGTATTCCCGAACTTATTACCAAGTTTTGAACCATAGCTATTTCCCAACTGACAATACGAGTAATTAGCCATGATGAGTGCGAGAGTTAAAACTGAAAATTTTCTCATTTTTGAGTTTTGGAAATTGTTCAATTTGCACTTGAATTAAAACTGATGATGTGTCAATGAAACAGCCTTCATTATATAGGTATAGTGCACCTGATGTTATCATTAATGACAATTTTAAATATAATAAAATTTCTGACTAAACGATTCCTAATTTTTTAAGCTGATTATCTGATTAGATAGACATGAATTTGTTTCTGAACTAGAATTATTTAATTTTAGGGTTTTTTTTTGTGATATATGTTGAGTCATTTTGATATCACAATATACATTTTAATATTTCCGCAATTCTGATTTTAATAAAGTTAGAGATAAATTTGTGTTCTGGAAATTTTCCATCGTGCTTGATCTCGAGGGATTAACCTTAAAACAAACGTTAAAAAACCACGTTTTTCCCGTGATTATGCGTGCTCCCATATTCAAAAGGTATTGATTTGAAAATTTAAGATTATTTTGAAATAATATAATTGTATTCATTAATCACAGATAGTAATGAAATAAGTATTATTTTAAGCATATTTTAAGATTGAAATTGGTTGTTTTAGACATAACCAAAAAAATAATAAGTTTCACAAGATATGAAAGATTCTTCGAAACATTAGATTTTTGTAACCTCTTTTTGTTGATGTGGTTGAACTCAACAATCAATCAATCAAACAGATACGAAATTAAGTTCAGAAAAACGTATCGGGTAGGCACATTTTTTTGTCTTTGCATAGGCACGCCTAAACATACTTGGTGTATGTTAAACAATATTTAAGTGCCAAAAGAAATGAGAAAATCAAATATATATATCAAAGTATTGTATTGCCATCGAGAACACATTGACAAAAATTTTCAACTAGATTAGAGCAATAGAAGTGGTCGAAAAATCGATCACAAGATTTGCCCTCCACTATGGGGCAAAATTGAAAAAAAGCGGCAAGTAAGGAAATTTTTGAACAGTTTTGAACTACGCTTTTAGGGTTATTTTTTCATGTAGAGGACATCAAAATTGACTTCTATGCCAAATTTCAGGTCATTTGATGCTGTTTTTACAATTGTGTGGCTGTTTGAAGTGGAAAATCAGTGAAAATTTTGATTTTTTCACGTCTTATTTAAACTGTCACATCTTTTTAATAGTTAAAGATATTAAGAAACGCTTTTCGGTTTCTAATAGTGTCATGCAAGAGCTTTGTTTTCATTATGTACAAAATTTGTAATTTTGTAGTTTTGGTACCAGTATGGGAAGAAATGTGAGACATTCTATGAAAAATATATTCAAGCATGCCGTAAAGATCTTAAATGGCCACTTTTCAGTCATATAAGCACATTTTGTTTTAGCCTCTGCCTTCTAGTTTTCAAAAATGTATAAACATCAAAATTTCTTTGGTACTTTTTTGAGATAAATTGATTTAAATAAGTAGCAGAACAATTCAACAAAAAATAAAATATCTTATAAAAGTTACGAAACAACAACTAAAAATGAGTTTTGTATTATTTTTCAATGACAAACAATATTTAAAAACAAATTGCGAAGAAATTTTTTCAAAAAGTTCAAAATCTGCCAAGATATAGGGTACTTTTTATATCTGACGACTTGTATGGTTTTCGCATCACTCAAACTGCTCTTATTTTTGTGTACCTCAATATTTCTTAATTCTGTTTACAGTTTATTGTAGCTTAAGTCTAGACCTTTCTAAATATATATAATACTTTGTAGTTTAGTATTATCTTGGTCATGAATTCAGGACTTGTTTGTGAACGACCCTAAACAACAAAAAATCTCAAAAACGTCATTTCTAGAAATATCATAAAAACTAGAAGGCAGAGGCTAAAACACAATGTGCTTATATGACTGAAAAGTGGCCATTTAAGATCTTTACGGCATGCTTGAATATATTTTTCATAGAATTTTCACACATTTCTTCCCATACTGGTACCAAAACTACAAAATTACAAATTTTGTACATAATGAAAACAAAGTTCTTGCATGACACTATTAGAAACCGAAAAGCGTTTCTTAATGTCTTTAACTATTAAAAAGATGTGACAGTTTAAATAAGACGTGAAAAAATCAAAATTTTCACTCATTTTCAACTTCAAACAGCCATAGAATTGTAAAAACAGCATCAAATGACCTGAAATTTGGCATAGAAGTCAATTTTGATGTCCTCTACAAGAAAAAATAACCCTGAAAGCGTAGTTCAAAACTATTCAAAAATTTCCTTAATTGCCGCTTTTTTTCAATTTTGCCCCATAGTGCCCTCGACAGACAGAAAAGAAAGAAAGTTAAGAAAAACTTGGTAAAAAGTGCACTTTCAATAACTTGAACTGCACCATTAAACTTCTTCATAGTGTATTGCACAATATTGCATATAAACTACAAACAAAAATTAAACATGAACTTATTCAAACTACAATTGTATCTTTAATAGTCATTCAATTCATCATCCTAAACATTTATATGTCCTGACATGAATTGACCAACATCATCATACATAGCTTACAATTAAAAATGACATTGAGTGCATAAAATGATAAAATTGGCAGAGACTCGCATTCAATGAAGGAAGCATGTCTATGATATTCAATGTTTTTGTGATTTTATTTTACCGATAAACTTTATACAACGTAATGTCTGTCAAATTTGTCCAGCCCATATGTACTTCATAATATTGAACATTCATGACATGCAACATGCAAAAATTTATAGGAAAATGTATGAAGATGAGATACTATAAATTGAACTGGATAGTTGCATATCACCATCATTTCCGAATTGAAGCTTTCGAGAAACAATCAAATATGAAGTCTACTTTGATATTTACTCTACTTGTTACAAGTTGTGTTTTATTATTCATTGAACAAGTATCCTGTCATGAACATGAAGACCATAAGGATAAATTGGATGGAATTGGCAAGCAAAAGAGAGAAATTTCCGATTTAAAAGATGCAGCTAGTTCAAGCTCAAGTTCAAGTGAAGAGTCTAAGGAATCTAGAAGAAAACGTAATGCTGAAGATTTAATGAATAAGGCAAAAGATAAATTTGAGGGCAAGTCTGAGGACGAAAAATCAGAAAAGACAAAACGTGGTGCTGAAGATATGTTCAATAAAGTTAAAGAAAAATTCAGTGGCAAGTCTGAGGACGAAAAATCAGAAAAGACAAAACGTAATGCTGAAGACTTAATGAATAAGGCAAAAGATAAGTTTGGTGGCAAGTCTGAGGACGAAAAATCAGAAAAGACAAAACGTAATGCTGAAGACTTAATGAATAAGGCAAAAGATAAATTTGAGGGCAAGTCTGAGGACGAAAAATCAGAAAAGACAAAACGTGGTGCTGAAGATATGTTCAATAAAGTTAAAGAAAAATTCAGTGGCAAGTCTGGGGACGAAAAATCAGAAAAGACAAAACGTAATGCTGAAGACTTAATGAATAAGGCAAAAGATAAGTTTGTTGGCAAGTCTGACGACGAAAAATCGGAAAAGACCAAGCGAGGTGCTGAAGATATGTTCAATAAAGTCAAAGAAAAGTTTAGTGGCGATAAATCAAGTTCAAGCGAGGAATCTAAGGAAACAAGGAGAAAACGTGGGACTGAAGATGTAAAAGAAAGTTTTGAAGGTGGAGCCAAAAAATTAATGGATGGTTTTAAAGATACAATTGGGGTATTCCAAGGATTTTTGGGTGGTAAAAAAGAAAGAAAGAGGCGAGATCTTCCAAAAATAGATACTGCTAATGAAGAAAACGACGAAGAACAATCAAGGGAAACAACTAAAACAAAACGTCAAGCCGAAGAAATCGAAGATGCTGAAGAAGGGGGTAAAAAAGGCAAAAACAAGGGAAAAGGTAAAGGTAAAAAAGGAGGCAAAGGAAAAGGTAAAAAGGGAGGAAACAAAGATGCAGAAGAAACAGCTCCAGCTGATCGTAAAAAGCGCAGCATTTCTGAAAAAGATTTATCAAGCCAGCCTTCAGATCAATCGGCAGCACGCAAAAAAAGATTGGTGCATTATGATGTACGAGAAGCATATCAAACTGTTTACACGTTTGCATAAATTGTGAAAATCATAACGAAGACTTACTGCGGCAGAAAACCTGACAAATGGATGAAAACTTTAGTTTTAGATCTAATTTTCATGTTAATATTTTCTCGTGCTTTCTGTATTGTTCTGTTCCAATAAATTATATTAAGTTTTGCAAGCATTAAATTTTATTATTTTTATTTGGAACTTGGAATTTTAAAAAATTCAGAACAGCAATTCTTAGTATTTTATGTTTACAGTTATAAAACGAGCCCCTCAACTAGCTCCTACTTTATTTTGTAGAGATTTTTCTTAATTTTGTAGACTATTTTAAAAGAGACATTCTAAACTTCAATTTTCTACATTTTCAGAAAAATTTGACAAAAATAAGTTAAAAACTCCTTTAAGGAATATTTCCGTTTTTAACCTTAAATCCTAATAGTCTAATGATTTTGTATTTGAGTCTAAAAACAGTCAGCAGGATATTCAATTATGACGGTAGGTTTTTTTTGGATTTTTTGACAGTTCAAATAAAGAAAATGAAATGTTATTTCATTGATATTTTGTGGCTGAGGGAAGGTACGTAAAAGGTGAACAACAACCAGCATATGAGTTGATTTTTTTTTTCTTCAATGTATGTTATCTATTCATTGATTTTATGCAATATTGATGCCAATAGTTTTTAAAATTCAACATTTGAGATTTTAAATAAAGATGAATAATCAAAATCAGAAGAATAATAAAATCATTCCCCTCGTAATTATCTATTAAAAATCACAAAGGGGCCGTTCAATTATGACGTCCTAAATTAACGGTCACTTTTCACAAAAGAACAATGGATTTCCAGGAATTTCTATTGTTCTTTTATTGCTGACTCCCCCCCCCCCCCTCCCCTCCCCCCTGGACGTCATAAGTGAACGGTCCCAAAACAAGTTTTATTAAAAACAAAAGAATCCCTTAAACATCTAGATTCATAAAACTCCTTTTTTATGTTTACAACTTAAATATTTTTTGGCATCAGTTTTGCGATAAAATTGATACAACGAAATGGCTGTCAAGTTACTCCAGCCCTTATGTGCTTAACAAATATTTAACAGCAATCGCATGTAGCATGCAAGAATATGTTTAAACAAAACAACTAGGAATTGCTATAAAATGGAAGAGAAAGTTACAATTTTTTATCATTTCCGAATTCTAGATTCGGATAACAGTTAAGGATGAAGACCAACTTAATATTCACACTAGTTGTTACGAGTTGTTTTGTATTATACGTAAACCGAGTTTCCTGTCATGAGCACAAGGACCACAAGGATAAATTAGATGGAGCTGGAAAGCAAAAGAGAGGAATCGCAGACTTAAAAGATGCAGCTAGTTCTAGTGAGTCTAGTGAAAGCTCTGAAAAAACTAAACGCAGTCTAAATGAAGTTGCTGAAATAAGAATTAAGCGTGCGACAGAAGATATGAAGCAAAATTTTGAAGGAGGCATGAAAAAAATGATGGATGGCTTGAAAGATACCATAAATGTTTTCCAGGGATTCTTGGCTAGTAAAGATAAGAAAGAACGAAAAAAGCGAGGAACTGAAGATATTAAAGAAAGTTTTGAAGGTGGAGCCAAAAAGCTCATGGGGGGTGCTAAAGATACTATTGGTGTATTTCAAGGTTTTTTGGGTGGCAAGAAAGACAGAAAGAAGCGCCAAAATGACATGAAAGATAAAATCAAGGGAAAGATTCAAGAATTTGTAGGAAAAGCTAAAGGTTTCTTGAATAAGGGAGATAAGAATGGAGAATCAGAAAGTTCATCTGGAGGTATTGGCATGGGTCGCAAAAAGCGAGGAATCGCAGATGTTGATACTCCAGCAAAAATTGGCGAAGATCAAGATGATGAGGATGACAGCAGCGAGGAATCAACGGAAGCTACAAAAACAAAACGTCAAGCCGAAGAATTAGATGTAAATGAGACTGGAAAAGGTGAAACGAAAAAAGGTAAAGGTAAAGGTAAGAAAGGTGGTAAAGATGCATCTGAGCCAGCAGATCGTAAGAAGCGTTGTTTATCAGAACAAGCCACATCCATTCAATCTTCAGACCAACCAGCAGCACGTAAAAGAAGATTGGTTCACTACGATGCTCGTCAGGCATTCCAAAAAACATACACATTGGTTTAAATTGATATTATATGAAGTCATACAGCAAGAAAAGAACTGACAAATGGATGGACAATTTAGAATTTAGCTTGATTCATACATAGTTTGAGATTTTCTCGTGCTTTTTGTTAAGAAATAAATAATTATTTTGCAAATTTATTTTTTGTTTGATGTAAATCTGTCAACAGTATGTAAAGAAGGTCCTCGCTTGTGTTTTAAAAAATGTTTGATAATTTTTATCTGCGTCATGTTCCTTCATCAACCTTATTGAGAAAAAATTTGCTCTTATTCCGTTATTAAACAACAAAATTGTACATCAAAGGTTTATTCCAAACAAACAAGGTAATAAGGAGCAACAAAATAATAATCTATATGTACTTTATCTTTCAAGATACAAAGAAATAAGATAAACTTTGAGCTTTTATGCTTGTGTGACGATGTGGCATGAAATGGCTTTCATAAAACCGAGCATTATTTCCTCAATCTTCATTTTCCAATTCACTACTCTATTTTCGTTCCTTTCATTAGCCTCGTGATATTGTGGAAATTATAATAAAAACTCATAAAATTAAGCTTGAATGAACAAATATATTTTCCCATTCTGTTCTGTATACAACTTGAAATATGACGATGGAATCGTTACCACATGGATGATTGTAAATTATTTCAATGTTTCGAGACTGTACATCGTTTTTCTTCAACTTAATTTAAGTTTCTATCATTAATATAGTCGTTTATAATTTGTGTCAGCTTTTTTTGTTTTCTTTCTATTTTTGTTAACATGTTTTGTGTCCTTTTATCGAACGAAAAGAACAACTTACAATATTTCAATCCCTCTCATTCGTGATCATCATTATAATAACATCTACTGCCTCATTTTATCGTATTCTCACTTTCTATGATGGTGTGAAGAATTTTCCACGCAAAACTTCATTAAAAATTAAAATTGAATTTTTTTTCTTGGTATAAAATTTTTTGCCGGATGTACAGATTTTCATATAACACACTTTTTATATAACGTTGAGTGGTAGGAGATGGAATAATAAGTTTGTTCTTAAAAACAGTAGTTGGAAAGTAGCTCCTTTTTACATGAATATGCTTAATTTCTTCTGTCATTCTGACCAGTTTTAAAAGAAAATTGGAACATTGTTTTGGCTGCAGTTTTTGAGTATAATCAGCAATTCATCATGAAGCTAGCCAGAGATGTATTCAAAGATTGTTTTTTTTTCTATTTATTTTCTCTCAACAAACTTCAGGAAAATATAATACCCCCCTTTAAAAAAATAAACAGTCCATTTTTGGCCAAAAAGTGAATCCCCAACTCTGTATCTCTAAAAAATGCTCCTGTCGCCAGCAAAAAAAAGAATCAGCAAATGCTACAATCATTGAGCAAGTGACAACCAAAATAAATTAAAACGTCAAGATTAATTTTCAGATAGACGAAAGAAATGTTAAAGTGACAGAAAAAGACTAAAGTACAGTAAATGCGTCACTCGTAATGAATGCAATGTCATATTGGTTTCCAATTTCATTTATATGAAAAGAATGAAAAAGTATTTCGAGAATGCGTGCTAGAATCTATTTTTTTTCGTCTTCTTCTTCCATCATCACATTTCCGAATATCGATAGAGATTATAATGCCTTAGTATTATATGTCACAAGCCATTCTAGAGTGAGTGCAACAACAATATGCCAGACTTCATTTTCTTTTGATGGCCTAATTTAATACATCAAAATGAATTGAGGCAGTAAAATTAAATTAAACGTTAGATTATATGGTGTGTTAACCTACAAGCACATAGTGCTAACTCAATGTGAACCTTAAAAACAAGAAAGCAAGTTAAGAAAAACGTGGTAAAAATGAAAGAAGTTTTATCAAATCATGTCTAGTTTTGATTCGACGTTTAGATATCAGTTCTTATATGTATGTATATGAATGTGTATAAGAAAATAGACGTGAATTAATTGTGACAAGGAAAAGTTCAAAGCATGTGATACAAAGTTGCTGAGTCGTCTATTGTTGTGGGGTGAAAGTAAGTGGGTGGTCTTGCAGCTTTTCACTTCTTTCTGTCTTTCTTCTAAAGATTTATATGCATTAATTATTATTATTTCACTCTAATACAACGCGTGAGACGTTTTAGAAGGAAAAAACGAGAAAAAATTATTTTTATGGTGATTTATTCTTTTCATGAGTGAGCTTTTAAAAGTTTCTGCTTGCTTTTTTAACCATCTTAATTATCCGAATTGAAAAGTTTGTCTTTTGCAATATTTATCAGAATGTTTTGGCTTATTGGAGAAATAAAAGTTTTTGATAAAAAAATATGTGATAATTTCTTGGCAGGATTTTTGCTGCACATTACTAGGAAAAAGTTCTTAGAGTTTTATGTTCTTAAATTACTTGTCACGATTACTTTGGAATGTTTAGTGACATTTTGAAGAATGAAGTTCTTTCTTGAAGTTAGAGAATTTGTTATTTTGGATTTTTAAGCGATGAATCTGTTTATGAACTTCAACTTTAAGGGTGAAACTGTGCGAGGCTTCAAACAATTTATTTTAGATTTTGTAACTGACTAGAGTTGTTAAATTTTAAAACTAAGTTCTTGAAAAATATCTTACTTAACTTTTAACTTAGTAAAGGGTGTGAAATTGATCAAAAAGATCAAAATATGATTTATCATTTTATTATTATTACTACGTTTTTCTTAACTTGCTTTCTTGTTTGTTTGTTTGTTTGTTTGTTTGTTTGTTTGTTTGTTTGTTTGTTTGTTTGTTTTTTGTTTGTTTGTTTGCAAAAAATTTCAAATCTTGCGATCAATTTTTCGACCACTTCTACTGCTCCAATCGAGCTCAAATTTTTAATGCACATGTATTCCCGGTGACAATACAATATTTTAACACTTTAGAAACACAAAAATGCTTAATTATAGTACAATTTATGTAAAACTTTTTTATATGGGAAAAAATCCAATGTCAATGATATAAAATTTTGATTTGTATTGAATATTATACTTGTGATGCTCTAAAGTCATTTATATGATTCATTATAGTTTAATTAATATTACTAATTATTAATTATACCATAAATTTGAGCAGCTAAAGATATTCTGGTAAGACAAAAAAATTGACATGTAATTTTTTCATGAATATTCGTAAGTGAAAATTTGAATTTTCAAAAAAACCGTTAAGCACAAGTCCGTTACGAATTAATGCAAAATAACTATTAATATGCGACGTGCATTTAGCACACATAGTTTGAGCATAAATTTATGCTGTTTTAAATGTATTGCATTATTTATAACACTTCACCAACTTAATTAAATTGACTTTTCTTTTTATTAACGGTTTGACGTATTTTTGCATAACATATAAATGATATTCATTGAATTTAAATTTGAAAATCCGTTATAAATACGTTACATATAGATTTGATTTGCATCTTTATGTTAAGAATCCACACGTTATGTAGTAGGAATGGTTCGGATAAACACAAAATCTTTACGAGTGATTTTTAATGTACTTTACTAATAAATGCTTTAAAAAAATTAAATTTTATAAAACGAATGAAAAATTTTGAAAGTCGTTACTAATTTCCCATTGAAAACTGGTAATTTATAAACAGTTGAACGCAACGAAGTGAAGTTCAACACACCTGTAACCTATAAACCTACTGATATCTATAAACAGTTGAACGTAACGAAGTGCAACGAAGTGAAGTTCAACACACCTGTAACCTATAAACCTACTGTAATCTATAAACAGTTGAACGTAACGAAGTGCAACGAAGTGAAGTTCAACACACCTGTAACCTATAAACCTACTGTGATCTATAAACAGTTGAACGTAACGAAGTGCAACGAAGTGAAGTTCAACACACCTGTAACCTATAAACCTACTGTAATCTATAAACAGTTGAACGTAACGAAGTGCAACGAAGTGAAGTTCAACACACCTGTAACCTATAAACCTCCTGTGATTTATAAACAGTTGAACGTAACGAAGTGCAACGAAGTGAAGTTCAACACACCTGTAACCTATAAACCTACTCTAATCTATAAACAGTTGAACGTAACGAAGCGCAACGAAGTGGAGTTCAACACACCTGTAACCTATGAACCTACTGTAATCTATAAACAGTTGAACGTAACGAAGTGCAACGAAGTGAAGTTCAACACACCTGTAACCTATAAACCTACTGTAATCTATAAACAGTTGAACGTAACGAAGTGCAACGAAGTGAAGTTCAACACACCTGTAACCTATAAACCTACTGTAATCTATAAACAGTTGAACGTAACGAAGTGCAACGAAGTGAAGTTCAACACACCTGTAACCTATAAACCTACTCTAATCTATAAACAGTTGAACGTAACGAAGCGCAACGAAGTGGAGTTCAACACACCTGTAACCTATGAACCTACTGTAATCTATAAACAGTTGAACGTAACGAAGTGCAACGAAGTGAAGTTCAACACACCTGTAACCTATAAACCTACTGTAATCTATAAACAGTTGAACGTAACGAAGTGCAACGAAGTGGAGTTCAACACACCTGTAACCTATAAACCCCCTATAATCTTTATTTCTCTATTTCATTAGAATAAGACTAAAAAGTAGAAAATAAAATACTTTATAAAAAAAAACTTTTTAAAAAACTACGTTTTTCGCGTAGACTAAAAAGTAGAAAATAACTTTTATTCTTGGTTGTAAAGAATTTGGTTTTAAATTTTCAGATTATATTTAATAAATTTTTATATCCTAGTCAATATTGTTCACAAAGTTTCGAATAAGTGCACTTTGATCTTATCGTATAACTCAACAACTTAAAAACGTGGGCGCATTATAAGAGGAGAAATAAGTTTATGTGAAATCAATACTTTATGATAAACTTAAATTAATGCGCCCACGTTTTTAAGTTGTTGAGTTATACGATAAGATCAAAGTGCACTTATTCGAAACTTTGTGAACAATATTGACTAGGATATAAAAATTTATTAAATATAATCTGAAAATTTAAAACCAAATTCTTTACAACCAAGAATAAAAGTTATTTTCTACTTTTTAGTCTACGCGAAAAACGTAGTTTTTTAAAAAGTTTTTTTTTATAAAGTATTTCGTACTCTTCATAGTTTCTTGCTCGTATAAAATATTCCAAGCTTTTCTAAGGTCAATATTCTGTGTTTTAATCTTACCTCGTCTAAGATTCTTCTGAATACCTAAACAATTGAGTAAATAAAGATAATAGAAAGAAAAATAGAATAAAACATTCAATCTTATAAAATGTAGGCTGCAATAACAACTTAATATCTTTTTGTCTCATATGATACATATGTCAATGGAAAAAAGGAAAAACTTTTCACACACTACATTTTCTCTAATCTCTTTACCGAACCTTTAACACGTATGAAATATATTTTCATATGAAATTTTAATCCTATTTAATGTCACCAGATTTATCTTAGCATAAAAAAAATTCAGAACTTTTTTTTTATCGACCTCAAAAATTATTCAGATGTAATAAATTAATTAATTATCAAACTTTTATATCCGGAATTGTGAGTGGGAGAAATAACAAAATTTATTTTCAGCTCATAATTTGGCAATTATGTAAATTAAAAATTTCTACACAAAAATAAATGCTGAATAGCTTGCAATCTACGCCTTTCTTTCCAAATCGCAATAGAAAATTGAAAGAAAATTTAGCACATGAAAAAGAAAAATGAATGTAAAATAAGGTTTTGATTGTGATTCATTGCTTGTTGCCACAACTGATTGTAAAATCAATATCTAAACGGCTCATCAAGCTTACGTTTCTTCTTGTATTAAGTAATAGTGGTTGCAAATGTGAACTTAGTCAATTGAGATATTGATAAATGTAGTCAACATATATTTTTGTGCTGTAACTATTTATAGGCATTCTTCTACTCATACCGAAAAATCTTGTAAGTGTGCTTCCTTTTCGTCACTTTTAAAGAAACAATTATAAATGACATCTATGAAGCGTGTTAGTTTATTTTGAATAAATTTCCGAACTTTCAAAGTTTCTAAACACAGTTAAGTTCTTGATAAGGAATAAACGTCATTTATGAACAATCCTCAAGAGAGCTTTTACCTTTTTTAATAAATTTTTTTCTATCCTTGCTGAATGTTTCATATGCAAATAAATTGGAATGGTGGGAAAATTGAATAATGCGAATAAGAATGTCAAATGCCATCACGCGCAGTTTTTACACTAGAATAAATAAAATTATAAAAGTGACGATGAAAACTTTCAACACATTTCCTGACAAATAAGTTAAATGAATGAAAAACTTCCTACATTTTTATTATTATTACCCAAACAAAATGCTAGACGGGAAAATTGAGAAAAATCACGAGTATTCAAGTATTGTTGCATAATTTTATAATAGCTTTTCTGTCTGCATTCAGAATGCTTAATTTTAAGGTTGAAGCTTGATTTAAATTTGTGGGTTTTTCTGCTTAACACGCAAGGTAGAGGCCTAAAATTTCTTATCTACATCATTATTGGAAGTCTGCCCTATTTTGTGAACATAAATCAGTCTTAGTATGCTGATATTGGCGCTCGATTTTCATTTCCTTAAGTTTGCATAGCTTCAGAATTGTAAGGAAAAATGTTTTGATAAAATCCATAAGTTATGCTCAAACTTCATGATTCAAATATTTGCATGTCAGCTCTAAAGTTTATGAAGCTAAACTTGTTGTGGATAAGGCTAGGGCCGTTCAAAAATTAAGTTTTTGAATGATTTGAATTCTTAAACCTGATCTCGTTTTTTTTAAACAGACATAAATCGAACTGGATTGAATCCCACCACATAAAAAGTTTGACATAATTTTTAAATGTTCCCTATATTATTGACACAATTCCCCATAAAACCAAAATAAAAAATAATGAAAAAACTTAAAATGTTGTTTTTGACAAAACAGTTTGTTGTGTTATGTAAATTTATCTATAAATGTCAATCAGCAATAATCCTTTAACTCTTGCTGTAGCAACTAAAGTCCTACTTTTCATGGCACGAATTATTTTTCATACAAAAATTCATCATGACTTGTAATTACTTCTGAAAAAACAACATTGTAACATTATCGTTCACTTCGTTTTTCACATTTTTCTCATTACCATATTTTGTATATTGTCACATACTAAAAGTTCTTTATGGCAATTACAATAATTAAGACTCATTATTTATGTATTTGTTGTCATAGTTTGGTGCAAAAAAATTTTATTCATAAATTAATGAATTTGTGTCTGAAAGTTTTGATGTACCATTTATAAAGTCAGCTTCCAATGGAACTACAATAAATTATGAGAGAACTAAACTTTCTTCTGGAACAATATTAATTATGTCACACTCTTTTGTCTCAAGATAATATTTTCATAGCCATTATATTGTTTGTTGAGCTCTTTTGATGTGAGATGTAGTAGTGCGAGCTGTTTTGGCTGGGTGACTGTCTGCTTATTGCATTCTTAGTTTTTCTATATCTTTATCTTATGTATTCAATAGGTTAAACCTAGAACTTGGTATAAATCTTACAAAGGCAACTCTATGCCTATTCAAATAGACCTAGATAGCATCTCTATTTAAACTTTTATCAACTGAACCCTAGAGTCTCCAATATTAAAAAATTTCACTCTCAAAAAGCATCAGGATTTACTCCAAAAAAATGCTCCACAAGTCCATCGACGATACTGAATGCATACAACTCAGATTTATCGTTGATGATGAAGAGAAGCTGAGATGTTTAATGAGTTTAATTAATTAATTTTGTCTTACAGCTTCCAGATTAATAAGACGGCGAGTACCAGCAGCTGGACATTTAATGACTCCTAAAAGATTATGGCTGAATAAAATTCCAACTCAATGTGATGTAGTTATTGAATTTCCTGGTAAGTAAGAATTTATGTGCATTCACAATGTACACCACATGAAATTTAATATGATGAATAATTGTAATGTGTTATTGCCTCAAGTAAAGGAGTATATCTTATAAGTTTACATTGCATGATAATTGTTCTACAACACAATAAATAATTGAATAAATATGTGCTCATGTACATTCCTTTGATACTTACTTTTTATTGCATGCACACCAGAAAATGCACCCGATGAGGCACTAAGATGGCTGCTAAATAAAATAAGATCACCAGAACCAGAAGCTCTTGGCCTACAATGTCTAGTGAGAACACATGAAAGTACAAAGCGAACAGCATTTTATGTATCCGCCCCAACAAATATCTTATTTAAAGCAGCCGAACTTTATCGACTTCCAAAGCGTTTACGTGTCGACCTTGGTGGTGCTCTGCGTGAATTCACAACACGCGAGAGTCATTGCTTCGAGCAAATAAAAGATGATGAGGGCAGGGTCTCATTATTCACATCACAAGAAAGACAATGGCTAGTTTTTCAAGTCCTACAAGGACTAAGAGCATCAAAGAATGATACGTCAGTAACATTTCAGGGAGTTGCGAAAGTCGAGGAAGGACAAAGTATTGTTGCAGCATGGCAAGAATCAGGTCTAATTGTTCAAGTTTTTCCATTACACGAAACAAATGCCTTAACACAATTGAAGACAAGTTGGGTGAGAAAATTTTTTGCGCCGCAGCCTCTTGGTATGTAGCAAAGTAAAAGTTTTCATCTGTAACTGCTATAATTACGTAATGTTCTTTATCTCCTTCATGGCGCGCATACAGATGACATAGCATCATATTTTGGCGTCAAAGTAGCACTTTATTTTGCATGGTTGGGACACTATACATGTGCATTGTGCGTGCCTGCGTGTCTAGGGGCTCTATTATGGGCTGGCCTTTATAGTCGTGGTCAGGTATTACGACAAATTTAATCTTTATTCTTTATGACTTATTTAACATGATTTGACTTTTCCATTTACACTCTTACTTCTTCCTCTTCCTTAATACATACATAAATCCTAATATTAGACGGCACAAGACATAGGCCACGTTTTATTTTCATTATTTAATGTTGTATGGGCATCATTATATTTAGAAGCATGGAGGCGTTACTCTGTTGAATTGGCATTCCGTTGGGGTACACTCTCGACGCCTCCTGAGCTTCTCGAGCCTCCTCGACCGCTTTATAAGGTAAATTATGAGATTTAAGTAATTGAATATCATAATTACTGTTTATTGGATCCATTTAGGGGCCACTTGAGGAAAGTACAGTGACGGGTCATTTGGAGCCAATGGAAGCACCAGCATGGAAACGTCGTGCTTTTCGCTATTTAGTTAGTTTTCCGATAATTGGCATGTGTTTGTTGTCGGTTTTCATCGTTATGTTCCTCATGTTGAGGTTACAGGTAATTAAATTTCATAAACACATAAAATTTATATACACACGTATTCTCATATCCTTAGTGTTTCCAATTAAATCCTTGATATGTTTATCATGTTTGTGGTTTTCATCATCAACTTGATAAGTCTGTAAATTAACTGCTTAACGATATTTATACAATAATGAAACTTTCATCTCAATGAAGCCATTGAATGCTTTTAATTAATGCCAAATACGTTTTCCTTATTTTCTAATCCATTTATTCCTTATTTTTTTATGTTAATTCAATAAATTATTCATTCTTGTTAATAACATTAAGACATGAGTAAATACTTGAAAAGTACAGAATTAATGAGCTTTAATTAATTAATTTCTCTGTTTTTCCTTTCATCATTAACTCATGTGAATTCGTGCACGACTCATAAAGGATTGGACCGATTCAAAATTACCTGAAAGTGGCATTTTTAGTTGGCTGAGCTATATTCCAACAGTTTTACTCGCAGCTGTCATAACTTTGATGGATGAATTGTATTACAAATTAGCTGTATGGTTAAATGATCAAGGTTTGTTAATCAATTATTATTTTTTGTTAAACTTTTCCCATTAATATTTATAAGTTATGTATTGATAACTTACTTTATTTGCCTCATGCAACTTGAGTATTGTTTGAGTGATGAGTTATTAAATATAAAGGGAAAAATCAAGGAAGTTTATTCTCTTTATCTTAAATTACTTTACATGTACTGTTGGTTGCGCTCATATTAAGTAATATTAGAATTTAAATCTAAGTTGAGACTAAGTTTGTTGAGCAATTATTGACTGTTAAATTTTTAAGAACTTATTAAATTTGGTTTGAATCAAAAATTCTAGTCAAATTAGTATTTGCACAATAAATTTATCCATAATTATATGAAACATCACTCAATTCATCTCAAAAAGATGTCACAAATACAATTCCGTAGTCTGTCAAGAACCAGTTGTAGAAATAAAAATAACAATACGCCTCGAGTGATTACAACATTCTGTTGTTCATATAATCGTGTTAATTAATTTTTCCTTCTTCTTTCTCTCCCACTCACTTACTCACTCTTGTTAATTAAATAAATTAAATACTCATACATACGTTCAGAGAATTATCGAGAGCAATCAAAATACGATAACCATCTCATAGGAAAAGTGGCATTGTTTCAATTTGTCAACTCTTTCTTATCGCTGTTTTACATCGCATTTTATTTAAGAGATCAGGAAAAATTGAAGGAGGTAAGGTTATTTCGTGATGTATAGAAAAATAAATGGATTCTAATCAATAAAATATCTATGTATAGCAATTAGCTGGTCTCTTAATATCTCGACAAATTATTGGCAACTTAAGAGAATCAGCTTTGCCATATATAATGGAGCAATGGCAATTGGCAACATTAAGTTTCAAGTTATGGGGAGCTCTTAGTCCTACAAAAGAACATCCGACAGCGCCGGAACTTAGTTCTAGTATCAGTAGCGATCCGAAAAAGAATGATGACGCAGATATAGAAAAGAAAGAAATAGAACAGCATGAGTTACCAACAATTTCAGCCAAAAGGTCGATTGGTCAGGCAGAGATAGAAAGTTCATATTATAAGGTATTTTTAACATCACAAACAATCATGATTTTATACCGGATTTTTAATTAAAATTTTCTTCCTTTTGTTCTGGTACATTTTTCTAGTACGAAGGAACCTTTTCAGATCACTTTGAAATGCTCGTACAAATGGGTTATGTAATTTTATTCTCTTCCGCTTTCCCTCTTGCTGGCTTATGTGCACTAGCCAATAATCTAATTGAGATTAGATCTGATGCATTCAAATTAGCACATGTTCATCAGCGACCATTCGGACAGAGGGTTGCAAATATTGGAACATGGCAAAATGCATTAGGATTGTTAGGTTTGGCAGCTGTAATTGTCAACTGTGCACTCATTGGATTATCAGGACAAGTTTCAAGATTATGGCCTGGAATGACTCAAACTCAAACAGTCATATTAATCGTAGCACTTGAGGTAAATATTATAAAATACCTACTTTATTTACATCAGTGTAATTATGAAGAGTTTGTCTAGTGTGAATAACATGAAATTAATTTTAATTTAAAATCCTTTGCTCATATGAAAAATTAGCATATTATGTTGGCACTACGTTCAGCATTGAAGTACATACTACCTGAAATACCTGAGTGGCTGGCTGCTGAGATTGCCAGGGCTGAACATTGTAGACGAGAAATGCAATGTAAAGGAACATCGCCGAGAGCAACCCCACCTTCACCACATTCATCAACATCATTATCACAATTATCCCATGAACATACACCTGATATGTATGATAAACATGAACATATAAGGAGGTATGATATGAAAATGTTTATTTTTGTTGGTTCACTTTTCCTCTATTTGGTCACGTTTGCAAGAGGATGAATGATCTATTTACATATTTATTTTATTTAACGTCTGAATCTGAAAATACTCTAAATGTGTGTTAATTTAAGATATGTGCAATTTGAAAATTACGTGCTAATTAAGCCTACATTGATCAAAATGCTAGAAATTCTGGTACGGATATGCTTGAATACTCCATGACATTAATACAATTAAATGGATTTAAATAGTTTTTAAGTTTTTAAGAAAATGAGGGTGAGGGGGGGGGGGTCAAAATTAGAATTCATATTAGTTTAAATTCTAGCTTGAACCCACTTTCTATTTTTGACAATCGTTCGTAAACTTTTGGATTGAAAAAGAACATTATTAAGACATCACAGTCTATTCTTTCTGTCCCTAGTATTATCTGCTCATAAAATTGTGTTATGATTCTTATAAGAACAAGAATTTTACATACTCGGTAGAATCATAAAAAGAAACTATTTTTTTCCAAATGTGACATAACGTGACAACAAGATTTTTCATATATAAACTTTCCACAACTGCAGTTACGAATCTGAGGATGCTGTATTTGAAAGAATGACTCCAAATAGTCCTAAGCGCTTTGAAGACATGCATCGTGATCTGTTTTCAACCCATCAATTAAGACATCGTTCACATCGTGGAAGTGCTGATCATGCTAATGGAACACCAGACTCTCCAATTTCTCAAGTAAGAAAAGCTTTCAATTTTTTTGCTAGTCAGTCAATCTTTATCTCTTTTGAAAAAAAAGCTTAAAAAAAACTGAAACATATTTTCACCAGCTTATATAAAAAAAGAAAAATTGAAATGAGATATTTTTCTTCCTTTTTCTTCTTATTTCTCTTTCTTTTCTTCTTACCACAAATATTTTTCTTCATTCTTAATGTTGAACCTCTCTTTTAACTTGTGTAAAAATAATATTAATAATAATAATAATATGAAAATCTATATTTTATACACCAAAAACATATATTCATCATTATAAACATATTTTTCACCATACATATTAAACACACGTAAAAATTTTCCATAAAATATTTGACATCTATCTCTTTCTCTATTATATCACATAAATTTTTGTTTCTATCACAAAATGCTTTTACAAAAAAAAAAAAAATATTTTATTCAAAACTTTTATTCTCTTTATTTTATTATCTATCAAAAACTAAATCATAATGAATTATAGACAAGTACTGTTTTGTGTCTTCGACCACTTCACGATTCTTCTACTACAGGCCAATCTGAATCTGTGCATAACATTCCATTTGAATCTTCTGTGCAAACAAGTTCAGGGTATGAGTTAACAATTTTATTTATTAATTTTATGTTTCGTATGTTTGTTACTTCCTTTCATTTAATTTGAATTTACTATAACATTAATTTGACATTTGATTGACATTCTTAAATTCTTAAACTCAGTCATAATTAAACTATTTCCAATTTTCTTTAGTAAAATTAAATTATGTTTTTAAAATGTTGCAGGAATAGAAAGTATGGAAAGAGCTTAACATGGAATGTAGAAATGATTTCATGAAATTTTGCAAATTCACATTGATCCAGAAACAACAAAATAAATTAATCAAGAAATTATTTCCAACTTATTGAGCACACAAATTTTTTTGACAATTTTATCTGTTTTCATGTTGATCTCTAGTTCAAACATCCTATTCTGCATATCAATTGATTGCATTGTAAACAATTTTATTTAAAGCATTGCATCCTAAAACAAAATGACACTAATAACGTCACAAAATTGGATTGCGCTAACTTTATGCACCAACTTACTTTTTTTATGCATTTAAATGACATTAAAATTATCACATGAAAAGATTTTAAAGCTTTAACTTCATAACAAACAGTAAATTATGAATCGATTGGTAAAGTTGTTTTACGGGAGTTGAGGAGTCTGCACATGTAAATTATATATGTACTTATTTTTACATGGCTAGAAAATACACTGAATTTCTCAAAATATCTCTTTAACAATTTATGAGGTTTCAATTTCACAAGAACTTAACTTAAGATTTAATATGAGTTGAGTAAGGTTGAGATAAATTGAAAATCAAACTCAAACTAATTTTTAACTTGAATTTTGTATTTGAGCTTGTTTTAAAATCTCATGAAAAATGAATTTAAATTTAAAATAAAAGTTATAATAAATTAAAGTTCGCATTTAAACTCATTTTCAGATATATTTTCAATCAAATTTAAATAGTTTGACCTACAAAGTTCTCCCCATTCTCACAGATTTCAATTCAAAATTTAATATTTTTTGAAAATAGTTGCCATATCGCTACCATCCTATTTTGTTGATCGGGTCTTCATTGTGTTATAAATTCTCCCTTATCACTTTCTCATGATAAAAATTGAAGAGTGAAGCTTTTATCATTGAATACATTAGGCGTGTATTTGTTATGAATCAAAATATTATTGCTTTTCTAAAATAATCCAAGAAAAATGCTTAAATCTCAAGGTGCTTTTTTCCATCCTATAAAGCAACTGTTGTTGAGCATTTCGTAAACACTCTAGCTGTGGGCATTAACGTCTCGAAAAACAACTTCCATTTGATTCTAATTTTATCCATCATTTTCAATGATTTTCATAAGAAATTCCAATTTATAGCATAAAATTTCGATTACAATTCCTCGTGTTCTTTTTGTTAAAGTAATCTGAGGTAGATTAAGTTCCATTTCTAAAAATATATAGCATATTTTGAGTTTATTATGAATTTCACCATATTGTGGTAATTCAGATATATAAGAAGTTTGTGCCACATCAGTGCATTTAACCTGTCGATTTTTTTTTGAAAGGAAAATTTTTAGAAATTATTTCCTGTTATTTTTGCAACATTCTGTTTATTTTCTTTGCAAGAGAAGAAAAAAAAAAGTTTTTGTGAGTTCATTTTTATTGATTTTGAAAGGAACTCAAACATCAAACATAAAATTTTATGCTATAAATTGAAAGAAGAAGTTTTTAATATTGCTTTTAAAAAATATTTTTTTCTACTTTTTCAATTTTACTATTTATAGTGCATGCAAAAGCAATTTAATGCAGTCTTTCAGACATAAATATGGTTCTGTAAGAGAGATACCGCCATTCAAAGGCCTTGTATCATTAAATATGTACAGTATAGTTAAGAAATCAAATACTGGGTAATTTTAATTGCATAATTTTCTTTTCAGATTCCTTTCCTATTTAATTCGCTTCCAATAACTTATTCCTCTTTTATGTATTTGCAAATGTAACTTTCCTAAATCTTTAAAATATTTTAAAAACTGTATTAGTAGTCTCTAGCACTCCACATTTTCATTCTAAAAGTTTCTGTCAATCAATTTACAGTTCACCAACAGCGACATCATCTTCCACGACACAATCAATGCCAAAACGAACATCATCACAACCAATTGAAATTCCAGAGATTCCGCCCTTTAAAAAACGGGATAATCAACACAGTAATTATCCACCAAGTCCCTATGAAACACCAACAAGTCAAAGTCCACAGAATACATTCACTATGTCGACAAGTGCTTCTCCACCAAGAATTTCCGATATTCCACCATATAAACCGAGAAAATCAAAGGAATTTACTGGATCTGAACTTAATGCACAACAATCATCATCACCATCATCACATCATCGAGAATCGTATGATTCAGCAGCATCAAGTGCAAAATTGGTAGCAGAAATACCAGAACATCAAATCACAATAGGCCCAACTGGCGGTGCTGAGTGGGCAAGACGATTAAAAGTTGCAGAACAATCATCTCCAATTCATCGTAGCACAGATTGTATAGTATCAAAACAGGAACTAGGAACAAGTTCTGATTCAGAGTTACTTAAACCAGCGCCATCGTGGTCAAATGTTGCTCTGAAGACAGACCAAGCAGGAACAAGTAAGACTATTTATTTTGTACAATTAATAATAAGTACTAATTAATCAATCATTAAGGTGGAAGCACATCCCTTCCGTCAGTACCAAAAGCAACAACAGCCGAGGATGAACAACGAGCAGCAGAAATTGCAGCCAAAAAGTCAAGACTTAAGCAGAAGTTAGTCAAAAGTGCGAGATCTGTCGCCATTTTCTCACTTAAGTTAAAGGAGAGACGCGCGCGAGAGGCTGAACGATTGGCAAAAGAGAAAGCTGAAGAATTGGCAACAGAAATGGTAAAAAATTAACATTTATAATCGTATTTGAAATCCATAACTCTGACAACTAACCAATCGCGATTTCTTCTTCTCCTTTTCTCTTCTCATTCTTCTTTATTTATTCATAATGGATGAATAGGCAATGAGTGCTCAAGCGGTAAATATCATTTTTCAAAACATGACATCTTTATGAGTATTAAATGTATAATAATTTCAAATGTTCTTAATTTATTCCAATAATAGATGTGCGGTGGTGGAGGAGAACTTAATTTGATACCATTAGAGCAATTAATTCACATTGAAGACGTTGTAAATCGACGATCTTCCAATACGCAAAACTCTTCAAGTAATAATAATACAAATAATAATTATAGTAATTCTAGTAATAACAATGGCTCAGGAACATAAGAAAAATAATAAAAAATGCAAAGAATGATGTGTTTAAAATTGATTTAAAGACAAACCATAAAAAAGGATTATTAAGTAGTTTTAGATTACACGAATTAGGATATTAATAAAATCAGCGCAATTAAAATAAAAAAAAAATCAGAAATAATATAAATCAACAGTTTGTTAATAAAAGAAATCATGAAAAAATTGGTACACAATGCATAGTCAGCAATAAGGATATTCCCAAAAAATATCATCAATATATCAAAAGTCAGTAAAATAAAAATTTTGTAGTGAAAGTGAAATTTCATATTGATCAATTATACAATAATTTGGATGATTTTAATGAAATGGATTTTCTTTGGTCTGATAAAGGTTCTCTTGTCAAGTTCTTTTCCTGTAAGGATAAATCGTTTCGGTTTTATCGACTTTGTAGCTCATCAAAAATTGTTTTAAAAAAAGGACATAAAGCGTTAATATATGGACTTATAATTAACATTCAAAATTTTAGTTTTCTTCAATTCAATTTTGAAGCCACAAAACTATACTAAATGTCATCATATCCTGTAATTACGTTAATTATGATAAATATAACTAGATAATGTATGTGTTGGCACCCTAAACCAGATCAAAGATTATCTATTTTAATGAAACCCGTCCAAGATTTTTTCAAATGAGGAAAGGAAATTAAAATCAAATATAGACGCTTAAATTTAGAATTTAAAAAAAAAAAATAGCAACAGAGTGTGATTATTAAATTAGTATAACTATCTCATATGCATAATTCATTTGAAATTCTCGCCAAGCATCAGATGCTTTATTTTCATTCTACAGGGGACAATAAACGAAAGAAAATTAAGAGTTCAGAAGAGAAAGAACCCCAGACAAGCTTTATATTATGTTATAAATGCTTCAGCTACATAATTCAGTGCAGTATCATTATGTTTTCTATGTATACGTTAGCTGCTGTATTATGACACGCAAAAACATTACTAAATGCTCATCTTAAAGGTTTGCTAAGTTACATAATTCAATAAAAAGACAAAATATATTTCAAATAATCAATATGAGATGATAAATTGGTGCCTAATGATCAAAAAAATATTGTAAAGTTAATATTAGTCATTGTTTATTGCAGTTTAATGCTTTTAAAAAATATGTAAAAGGAATTTAGCAATCGTGGTATGGAATTAAAAGAGAATTTTTAATCAGTGTAGATTGTTTTTAAAATATCAAAATGTTTTATTTTTTAACCAGATCTTTCCAAATGTGATAGCAAAACGATTGTCGTCTGTTCGCATCTGTTCATTTCGGAATGATTTGACAATTTTTTTAAAAAAAAGAATAGAATTTAATCTTTATTGATTATTATCAAGCAGAACTCTCGTACCTTAATCGTATCAAATACAGAACTAAAGATCTCAATCCAGTTTACAGTAAAAGCTATAATGCTTGTACTTTACTAAACTACTCATTCCATCATATGTTTAAAAGTTATTGACATTAAATTCATGAAGGTCACACAATTGTGGAAATTTTTTGCTTAAAAAACAAGCTTTGATTACGGTTCGGACAATCCAACAAATTAATGACTGCTATTTACTTCACGTACGTGCCCATTTATTGATTCAGAGTATTTTTTATTTTAAAAATATAATAACAATAATTTTCAATATCTGTTTATGTATTTCCTTTCCGATTTGGAAGCATAAAATAAAACCAGTGCAGTGAATTAAACTTAGTCATTTACAAACTCTCTTCAACAATGAATCCAATTTGGATATTTTTTGCATTTGGATTACTGTTCTCGGTTATTGATAATGGAGGAAGTCAAACAATAGCAACAACTTCACCATCGAAAATAAGATCAATGCTGTCCTCTATCGCTCCACAAATTCAAAATTTTCAAACTTCGTTTAGACAAGCTGGTCAAAATTTTCAAACATCCGGAAATCAATTTGCTCAGAATATGCAGAAATATGGATCTCAATTTGCTCAAAGCTTTCAGAATTTTGGTAATCAGTTTACAAAAACTGGTCAAAATGCAGGGACTTTATCAGCTACAGGTGCACAAGTAATTGCCACTCAAGCCACCAACAGCTTCCAGACTTACGGATCACAACTTTCAAAAAGTGCTCAAGATATATCATCTCAAATGGCACAAAGTGGTCAGACATTTGCTAATCAAGTCAGCGCAAATGCACAAGGGCAAGATCAAAAATGAATTGTTCGTGACGCTTAACAATAATTTACAATTTTTGAATCAATAATGCGAAATATGTATTTAAGACTTGTGTTTTTCTTAAAGTCCTTGCCAAGACCTATATTTTGGTGTATAACAAGTATCTCGTAGACATTGTATTATAATTAAAAATTAATTTAAAGTGCTTAGCGTCACGAACAATTTTGAGGAAATTCGATTTTACACCATGTTGCAAATGTAATATCTCTGCGAATACTTCATTAATCATAACGATTTTTTCACCAGATAATTAAGTAATCAGATCATTAAAAGTTTTGTCTAAAATATACAAAATGGCGGATTTGTAAGTTAGCTTAATTCAGCTTTAAAATGTTGAAGCTGAAATTTTGATATGAAGGAAATAGTTTAGGAACTATCTTTCTTTACAAAAAAGGTTACATATGTAATTTTCTTTAAGTCTGTGAGAGAAAATTTTCAATTTTACTATAATTAACCAAGTTATGATGAGTTTTACAAAACCAGTCATAAGTCATTGCTGTGTTATTCGTCTATTGTTTTTTTCATTTCAAACTATAGAATTCAACAATGTTTATCATATTGCAAAAGAAATATTACTTTTTGTTCAAGACAAGCAGAGAAAATTAAATTATAGTAAAAAATTTGACCAAAAATTTTGTAACGGTTTTTAAAATTATAAATTTGTGAGCAAATAAGAGCAAAATTTGTTGCTCAACTTAAATTTCATTGTTTTTATAGTTAATTTAACTTACTTTTAAGCCTTTTTCGAATGTAAATTAAATAGTAAAAGACTCTTTAGATATCAAGTAATTGTTCTTGACCGATTAAGGTTAATAGTTTTGATTTAAAAATACATTTTACATTCAATTTGGTTTTCAGTTAATTTAACTAAAATAACTCATTTTTAATAAAATCTATTTTGATCATATGATAGAAAAAAACAAGCTCTACAACTTTTGTCAAGCTTCCAAACATTTATCTTGCTTTCTTTTCAAAGAAAAATCGATTTCAAATATTAATTTGTTAATTAAACTAACTTAATAAGTCGCCATTTTGAAAAATGAATGTTAAAAAGAAACTTACTATTATTAGCTATCATGTAGTGAAGGAATCATATTAATTAAGCTATTAAAAGCAGAGAAATCTGAATTTGAATATTTATTCCCTTTTTTTCTGATCTTGCCCACAAACATTCGGAAACTCTTTTGCAAAAGCTGGACAAGATTTATGGGCTAATTTTCAATCTGGTTAATTTAATATTCATGCATGAATCAATTAAAATTGAAAATTGCTTCAAAGTTTTTTTTAACAAATCTGGACTGCGAATTAGCTTTTTCATTGTAAACTTTTAAAAATCAGACAAATAAAATAAAAAATTTACATACGAAACCATTTTGTTTTTAACAGCCTCAATGTTATCCATGAAACAGTAATGTAAATTTGATTTGGTGGCTTGTTTTTTTGTTGCAAACCTCACATAATTTAATTTGATGACATAGCTAAATGTTGGTATTATTTTTTGATGATTGAAGCAATTGGATGTTAAAAAGTAAATTAGTGATGAAAAATCCAAATCAAAATAAACATTTTTTATGAAATCCTCATAATTACAATACGCAGTTGTTATTAAAATCCTAAAAGTATAATAACAGTAATTTTGATAAGGACGAAAATTTTCAGTTTTATAATTCCAATTAATACGTCTCAAAAATTTTATATATTTCTGTGTATGTAAATAAAAGCAATAGCATAGATTTTCAATTTGACATTTTGTTGAAAAATCAAGTTTTGAAAAGTTCATTTCAATATGAAATCCATTTGGTTCGGTTTATTTATTGGATTACTTCTTGTATTTAAGAATGCGAAGCCTATAGCATCTCAAATAAAAACTACAGATTCTATTTCGAAGAATCCCGCTGCTATTGCTCAAAAAATTACTGCGGCTGGTGTCAAAACTAAACCTTCAACAACTTTGCCTTGAGTGGCAAAACCTACATCTATCCCGACCACTGTAAAACTTTCGAAAACTGTGCTGGTCCCTAAACCAAAACCGAAAGTTACAACTGCTGTGATAACAGGTTAATTGCTAAATGGACAAGACGGAATTCCGAAAGTTTAATTTAAATAAATTTATTACAAATCAATTAAATTTCAATTCGATCATAAAATTGTGAATCCAAATATTACTGCAAAACAGGTTAAAAGAAGAGTCCTTTGTGGCAATTAGAATCTAATGCCTTAGTATCGAAAGTTATTAAAATAATTTTTCTATTTACCACATTAGCAAAACCTTTATTTATTAAATTAAAACCTACACCCGCAAATTCAAAACTTCCATAAACAGCAAAGCATATATGACGACATCAAATGCTACAGCATCTTCATTTAAAACTGGTTAATACTAAATTTGTTGAGGTTCTGAGACAAAAATTCGTTTCGACGAGAATTAAAATAAATCCAATAAGATTTCCAAAACCATAACCAGACTTAACCATTCTTAATATTTTTTCTGTTTTACACAGCATATTATTTTTTTTAAAAAAAAAATCTCTTTAATTCCTGCCACAAAATAAAAAGCGAGATCGAGATAAGCTTAATCTTTTTTTTTTCATAGACATGGATATTTAAATTTTGGACATGAACAGTGAAATTAGCAAAGAACAGCATTATATTTTTCATGATTAAAATAATTAAGAGCAGTGAGCAACGAATAGAATATTTGAATGTATTTTTAAAAAATAAAAAAAGCCTTTTAATCAAGAAAAATAATATGTTTATGCTATGGCATATTTTGAACTTAAAAGTTTTTTAAACTTAATT